TATTACTATAAATCAGTTTTATAATGTCCATATGTTGCAGATAAAAATAATTACCTCTTTAGTAAACCCCATTGATCTAAACACTGTTGAAATTCGTTGACTTTGTTACACCATAGGACATTCTATTAATTCTTTGTTTAACAGTTATGACGATAAAATTATTAAAAGTCCCGTAATACTATATTTGGATGCTATTTTTTCACCCTTTTTAGGATCCGTACCTTAAAAGATAAAAAAGAACCCTTATAAGAATACTTGTCCGTCTGTCAATCCATGTATCACCACATATTTTCTCAGGAATACTGTAGGTGGATCCTAATACATGTATAAAAATCAAAGTCCTGATTCAACGCGATAAAAAGATATGGGCAAATTTAGACCTAACTAACCTAACCCAGAATCAAGAAATTTGGCAAAAAGCAAAGTCACAGCACAAGTAAAGGGAAAATTCTAAAAAATAAAAAACGTTGAAAATTAAGGTTACAAGTCTGGTACTTACAAGTCTAGAAAATCGGTGGTGATTATTTACCAATTTTATTATGGTGATATAATGGGTAGGTAACCCTAAGTTCGACTCGCACTTGACCGATTTTTATGGAACTTTCACGCTACGTCTTTTAAGAAGGCTGTCATAAAGCTATGACAATTTCATCATTTCACAAGCCGTGCATACGTAATGAGCAATTTATGTGTATCATTAATAATGGATCATGATACAATATCATATGTAAATAATAAATAATTAACGTATTGATTAAAGATTTAACGGACACGGGCTACTAATCATGTATGATTATTACATAACACTGCTTTATTATAGTCTGCGTAAGAATTTGATGTAAAATAACAATCCGTTCAATAGACAACGACTGCTTGACAGGCAAAAAATTATGCCTTAGATTTAATATTCAAAATAAAGGAAGATTAAAAGATTATAATTAACTTAAGATATAAAATAAAGATATAAATAAAGTCCGTTGGGGAAGAAAGGTTCTCGAGTGGTAGCCTCGTACTGGCCATCGCAGTTTAGGACGACCCCCCACTAGATGGAGTGACGACCTGTGCAAATGTGCGGGAAGTCGATGGATGCAGGTGGCTCAGGATCGTACTTCATGGCAGTCTATGGGGGAGGCCTATGTTCAGCAGTGGACTCAAACAGGCTGAAATGATGATGATAAAATAAAGGAAAATTTAATTACCACTTAATTTTTATTTCATTTCATTTAATTATGTACACCGCCTCGTGTAGTAAATCCTAGTACATTTTACGAAGGATAACTTCTTACAATGAATGGTTTAAGGTTTAGATTTTCATTACCTCTAACTTTTCTGCAAAATAGTTTTAATTAGTAGCACTAATTTCGTGCAACTTTTGTCGTATCATCCTTGTATGTCTATCACCCGTACATCAATCAACTGCTATTTCTTTTTTTTTTTTAATTAATATTTTATTCAACTTTTATATCTCTTTAAATTGAACGTTATTAAAACTCAAATAAAAGTTCATTTACCATGACTTTGACAGAATAGATCGCGAGGAAAATAAATTTGTCAAGATCAGCCCTTCTTCATATGAAAAATAAAACAATTATTTTTACAAATTAGAAATACGCAATTCGAATATAAATCTATATACAATATTAAAACAATATGTACACATTTATGTATACATATTGTTTTAATGTATTGTTTAAGTGTGCGTATAATAACTGATATGATATCAAAGACAAAGTCATAAACACGTGTGAAAAATCTTACGAACGTCACAAAATAATAAAAGTTTACTTAAGAAAACGGAGTCTTGTTTGTGTTTAATTTTGTCTAAGTCCTCACTGTTTAAGATGTTCTTTATATAAAATGATGATCCGTTTATAGAAAATGATGATCTGATACAATTTAGGATTGTAGAAGAATCGTATGTTTGAAGGTTCCTGTGAAAGTACCCGCTTCTCAGACCTACGTACGTTGAAATGGTTACGTGCTTAAAAATTACTTGCCCAAGGCAATATTTTCGCAGTATTTCCTAGCGTTACTGAGCAAAAAATGTTTGAAAAAGATTATTTCGTTAACAATGTTATCATGGCTAAAAAAATGTTATTTTTAATTTAAACAAATATTAAAAACGTTTATAACCAATTATAATCAAGCTTCCATGTCCATACGTTATTAGATCCCAAGCGGGCGATAAAGCTGTCGCCATACATATTCATTTACATTAATCCTATGAAAACTATGATCCAAATCCTCATCATTTCAGCCTGTTTGAGTCTACTGCTGAACAAAGGCCTCCCCCACAGACTGACGAAGCACGATCCTGACCCACCTGCAACCTTGCGACTTCCCGCACACTTGCACAGGTCGTCACTCCATCTAGTGGGGCTTTGGCCAGATCGAGGCTGCCTCTCGAGAACCTTTCTAGACTGTTCCTATAACGTCCGTCCTCAAAGACATGACCTTTGTTGACGTGTTCCTGCCGTATTAGTGTGGACATTCATTAAGCGACAGTTGGCGAAATTGTCGCAGCCACCAATTCTTAAGTACCGTCGTATATGTCACGATTTTTAACATAAGTTCCCAACCAAATCATCTCACGTGTAAAAGTGATTTTCATAAAAACCCCAACCCGAAACCAAATACGATCCCAATAATCGAAAGTAAAATTATAAATTCTACAGATTTCAATATTCACTAATACATCTGAGATAATATATAGCATAATCTAATTGAAAATTATTTAGACAAGTTAAACAATTAACGGGATTTAACTACCGTAATTATATATTAGGTGATTAAAATGCCACCAATCTAGTAACAATGGCACATTTCCGCGTCATTATGAAGCTTTCGAAGCGAAAGTTCAAAACCCACATCAATCTCTTCACATTGGAGACAAATTATAACTTATGTCATTACACTTATGGGTGGGCTTTTATCAAACGAGTAATAACGCTATCGTCATTATAATTGGGATACCTATTATTCGGCATCGAAAATGAGTCTTTTTAGTTCCTGCATGTGTTTCATCACTGACTATCATTTCTAATTGTCACAAGAGATTGAATCTTTAATCAAAAATTGACAAAACCCTTGTAACATTCTCGCTCCAAGCTATCACATATTCACTAGATAAAGCAATTGTTGCTTACCATTACCCTTGCTTAATTGAATCACGGATAAATTACAAAACATCTACAAATCACGTCCGTTTAAAACAACGCCTAGATAAATATCGGCTCTCGAAAAATAATATAATATAATGGCATATTTCATAAAATGTTTTTAATTTAAGGCGTAAACAATAGTAGATTGTTGCACAAAACTTTGTTTAACATTACCTTTACGCCCCTCACGTGGGTTCAACCAGCTTACTATCCAATAGATACTTTAAAGGTTCCTAGCTGCTATGATAATAGTAGCTTCACATAACCAATTCGCAAACTTTGCGTGCATAAAGTCAAACCAAAGTGGAGACCTCAGTTGACTTTAGGGCATCATCTGCGATGCTACACACGGGCGGCGGTGTTCGCCGGCATAAACATCAGTTTGTTTGTTCCAGTTTGTTTCGAAACTCGTAGTTTATTCATTACGAGACGGTTATTTTGTAATAAACGCGCGATACACGGAGGCGGTGGTGTTTACAACACGCAACTCCTTAAGTCTCAACGGAAGTTTTGCGGTTGCAATAGTAAATATTAATGGATTTCTAAAGAGAACTCCAAGGTTGTAGGTGAAACAAGATGAAAAGAAAACGCTAAGCTCCGTTCCCGCCAGTATATTTTAATAATAGCGTAACCGTAGCTCCTCGGGATTTTCCGTAGGCCTCCGTAACAGTTCATTCTCGTGCATGAATTGAGAGACTTTTTCAAAGAAGTACAGCTCTCACAAGCTACTGTTGTTGAAATCTGAACACCATATTTTTAAAATGGCTATAAAAAATAATTGTCTATCCCGAAAAGCTCGCGACCGAGCACAATAAGTTATCCCTTTTCATTGCAGTCCAAATGAAGAGCTCCGTAATAAACCACCGACTCCTTTCGGATTAGTCGAGTAATTCGCAGTCGAACGGAAAAGGTCTAATGAGGTCCAACGCATAGCCAGAATTTCAATGCTGCGGTTAAAAAAACGTTGATTACTGTAGATAATACACAAATTGAACATTTTCTCATTCTACATCAAGTGGATGTGTGCTTCAATACAACAATACCATCGAAATTGCAGCCCGAAGCAATATCGAAAAGCTGCGAAGATTATGGTGCAGCATTAATATTATATTTCGATTTCATATAAGACTTATAAACAATTGCCTAAGCTTCTATCAATATTTTATTATAATGTCATCAGAATTTACTCGGTATTCCGTAATTAATTCAGTTGTTTTAGTTTTATTATACATAATTATACCTATATCATAAAATGTATGCTGTGATGTTTTCAACAATTACTTGTTTTGGTAGACTAGTTTTTGTGATCAAAATGAGTGAAGTTCAATTTAAAATTGAAAAATAGCGTGTTCTATAAAACAAAAGTGTTTACTACTAGGGTACCACAGGGTCCTTCACAAGGACCAATTTATTTTACGGCAGTTTATACTTAATAAGATTACACTAGGCTTAAAAATAATTTTCTTGGATGTTTTTAAATGACTTTTGTTTCTGGTAATACTGGTGCATGAACTGCCCTATAACCTATAATTTGTCGTGAAACCAGTTCTTTAATTTTTCTTTAACTTTTTAATAAAATACGGTTACTAGTTGTAACCTTAAGTGAACTTTAACAAATCCCTACTAATGTTATAAATGTGAATGTAAGTTTCTTTGTTACGCCTAAACTATTAAACCGATTATCATAAAACGTACACATATTCTTAGAGGTATTAAAAAGAACATAGAATTCTTTTTATTAAAAAATTTTAACACGATATTTATGTAAGGGCTTCAACGCGGGCGGAGCCGCGGGCGAAAAGCTAGTAATTAAATAAAGATACTATTTCATATACTTACGTTTGGCGCTAACCCCAACTGACATAAGTAGCGTTGCTATTAGCACAAGCGTGAACGCGTTGGACGCCATTTTAACTGAAACAAATGTATGGTATAAAAACTTGAACAATGCAATAAATATATTTCAGGGCACATTTTTACACAAAGTTCTAGTTCCAAACTAAGCAACGCTTTTACTATGGGTGCTCGATAACTGATAAACTTACTTAAACATACTTTTCTTTTGTAAATAAATACGTAGATAATTTTAAAAAAAATTAAGTGGGGCTTTCATTTTTTTTGCCGTTTTATATCTAATGGTAGGGAAACATTCGTGCGCGAGTCCGACTCGCACTTGGCCGGTTTTTAAATATTGCTAACGTAATACGTAACTCATTATCACGAAGGCGATGCCAAAAATGAATCAAATTGTTTCTCGAAATGAACAAAATATCGTCACGTACATATTAAGGAACATAAATAAATACAATAAACGTTTTGCGTCTCAATTCAGACCCACGCACTCGCATAGAAGTCATTAAAATTCCTTTATTTCAACACCAACCTTTTAACTTATCGGTTTTCTCTTCGAAGTAACGTTTCTTTTTGTTACGCGTTAATTACAATGAGAGTAAATTATAATACAATTATGTATCTAAGGAGAATTGATTTCTAATTGTAAAGTTGCGGCAACACTTACGCACTCTTTGTAAACTTCAAAGAGAGAATTTGCTTTAATCTTGTTCAAATTATATATAAAAAAAATATTTTTAAGAGTTTAGTACTGGCTCTTTAATGTCAAAAAACATTAATAAAAACATATCTTGTACTTTTAATTCAATGACCTCTTTAAGAAAAATTTATCATTCCTTAAAATCAAAAATCAAAATCAAATGTATTTATTCAACATAGGAGCATTACACTCACTTATTGATAGTCAAAACACTACCACCGGTTCGGAAAAGAAAGCCACTGTACTGAGAAGAACCGGCGAAAGAAACTCAGCGGGCTTTTTTTTTTTAAATAAGCAGTTTGACATAAATTCGTTAAAATACAATATAAGAACTCCGATTGAAAGAGCCTGGAGCGATCAGTTCATTACCAGAGTGTGTTATCATTTAAATAATCATTAATATTATAGTAGCCTTTAACACACAAACGTTCTTTTACTATTTTTTTAAATTTAGCTATTGATGCATTTTGAACGTTTTCTGGAATTTTGTTGTAATAACGTATACATTGTCCCATAAAAGATTTACTTAGGAGTGTACTTGTGGGTAGGATCAATTTATTTTTGTTCCTAGTATTTATATCATGAACATTATTATGTCTTAAAAATTTATCCTTATTTTTATGGACATACAAAACATTTTCAAAAATGTATTGAGCAGCAACAGTCAATACCTTTATCTCTTTAAACAAGTTTCTTAACGATTCTTTGGGGCCCAGATTGTAAACTGCACGAATAGCTGTCTTTTGTAAGATAAAGATTGTATTAATGTCGGCCGCGTTACCCCAAAGCAGAATGCCATAAGACATTATACTGTGAAAATAATTAAAATAAACCAAGCGAGCCGTATTTACATCATTTAACTGCCTTATTTTTTTTGACCACGAAAGTTGCTGAACTAAGTCTACTCGCCAGTCTATTAATATGGGGCCCCATTGCAGTTTGTCATCAATAGTTATGCCAAAGAATACAGTTGAGTCAATAAGATCCAGCGCTTCCCCATATAAAAGGACATCAGTTTTTACATGTTTAACAAGTTTTAGTTCCATTTAATCTATACATATTAATAAAAAAACTTTGTTTTTACAAGTTTTAGTTCCATTTAATCTATACATATTAATAAAAAAACCAACATAAACTATCCTTCATAGTATACTCTCTTTGTAAACCTGCAAAATTCCTGAAATGAAAAAACAGCTGCAATACAAATACGGAAAGAATATACTTTCTGCGTATTTGTTTTGCCTTGCACTACCACTGTTTCTATGAGTCTTCTTGCTGTCTCTACATCGTTTTCATGCGGTGATTTCATACATTTCAGTTACCACATAAGCAGATATTTTTGAAACAATTTTTATACTGTCCATACATATAAAGACATAAAGTAATTCGATTAGTCACTGAAGAGTGGGATAGTGCGTAATCGTTTCGAAGTGAGTTTCTCATTGCAGCTTTACGTACCCTTTAAGCAAGGTAGCTCAAAAAAGTAGTTCCACAACCTGATATAATATAAGTATAAAGTAAAATCTCCTCTTCTTTCCCCTGGTCTTATTATCAGAATGGCGGTCGACACAACATGTGAATCATTTTTTTACTACCTAATTTTTTTAAAGTGGAAAAAAATCTTTATGTATATAAATATCCCCTGCCCCGAAATTATGGGAGTAGCAGGGATATGGGAGTCCTGTTCAGAAAAAGACGGATACTGTCTTAAAATTTACAATTTAGTGCCGTTGCAAGCAGCACAGCACCTCCCACGCTTCCTATATTAAGCGAGAGTGTGTCTGTTTCACGTCCACCATATTTGGGAATTGAATTAGCTGTGGTTTATTTGTGTGACTTGTCCCTTGTGGGATTCGAACCCATGACCCCACGGCTTGAAGCCATTGGCTTAGCAACCGCGCGCTTCACCAACGGCTGCATCTCCACTTACCATGAGGTGTGAAGCCAGCTGTGTAAGTCTTACAATCTTGCTCGCTTCATATTAAAATAAAAAGAAATTGGCACAGTGGAATCATTGATGATGTTAAATGATGTTAAAAAACATTTCCCTCACTGTAGGATAACATTATCCTATATTGTAAGGACGTTTTTACAGACATAAATTGCACGAGGACAAACACCCAGATCCGAAACAACTATGTGGGTCAACAAGCTGTGGGTCGCACAAATAGTTGTCCCGTGTGGGAATCGAACCCACGACCCCCGACGCCGAAACCAGTACCTTGGTAACTGCGCGACGGAGTCATCGATGAAACACATCCTTCCTTTTTGAGGAACTTTAATTAATCGCGATGATCACCGGTGCCCAAGAAGAACGCAGTCGCTAATAAATTTCTGGAATACATTCAGATTCTTTTCATTGAAATCTACGTAATCCGTTACCAATTTACGTCCATTCAGTACGCGTGTGCCTCGGATGTGTTTTGAAATTAGAGGGCATTGACGAAAAGTTTATAGAGCTCCTTTACACGTCCTCTTTTATTAATGTCAGTGTGGAGTCAAGGCGTGAATACGAGATGTTCTTTTCACCCCTTTAATTAATATTAATTATTACTTTACGAAATTAAATGCGAGGGTGTGGAACAACTTACTGGCATTCATCATTCCGTCCGTTCTCAATGTTCGATAATTCAATGACGAATTGCTAGTGAATCTTAATTGCCCATAATTGGGATCATGTTATACTACTTTGGACTTAATAGTAGTGAATGGTTATTTAATTTAACATAAATAACGAGACGTGGTCCTTCACTGCTGACCGTATGAGGAAGCTCAAAGTCGCTCAGCGAGCTATGGAGCAGGCTATGCTCGATATTTCTCTGCGTGATAGACTTCGTAACGAAGACATTCTAATAGAACCTAGATAACCGACATAGCTCAGAATATTAGCAAGCTGAAGTGGCGATGGGCAGCCATATAGCTCGTCGAACCGATAACCGTTGGGGAAGGAATCGCAGTGTAGGATGACCCCACTACGCCTGACACCCAACCCAGTGCAAATGTGCGGGAATTCGATGGATGCAGGTGGTTCAGGATCGTACTTCGTGGCAGCCTATGGGGAGGTCTATGTTCAGCAGTGGACTCAAATAGGCTGAAATGATGATGATGAAACAACACCGAGAATTAATCAGAGGCGCGAAAAGATTATCTCGTATTCAAAGTCGATATGCTTGTGAATCTTAATTGCCCTAGTTGTACTAATATGAAACTACACCGCTTAATAGTAGAAATAGTGTATTTTAACATAAGTCGCATCAAGCGTTAACCTAAAAATTCTGTACGCAATTTTTCATCTCTTTTCAAGAATTATATTTGACATTCAAGAGTGAGATTTGTTATAATCAAATGCTACGGTTGTAAGCACTACGTGTAACAAAACATGTAGTTTAGTTCTCAGAAAGCTCTTAATATTCAGTCTAACAAGTTGCAGTGCGACGCGTTGCAATCCGATTAAGGCGAGGTACAAGCCAAAGATTACACAGACTAATAAATATCACCAAATCAGGATTTAACTCGTGAACGTGTTACGGTTAGTGCTACGGCCTGACCACCTCGTAGCACTAACGTAGCACGTGCACGTTCAGACCATTTTTCCAACTTAGCCGCTCGGGTATTATCGCTGCCCTGACAGTTCTATATGACCAAATCTAATTACCATTATGGAACTTTTCCATAGAATTAATTTTAAGGATAACTACGTTAAGATCCGCACTTAGATGTGACCATTTACAATGGGTTTCCGCAAAGTAATTCACCTACCCGTGTTATGTTAATTTGACAAGATGCTCAAGAGTTTACAACGATCCGACATAATAGTCTACAGAATGATTCTCCAAACGATTTTTGAATTTACTGACACTTTAAGGATTAAACAAAGTGTATAATTCTAATTTAATGTCCCTGAAAAAACGCAAAAATAACCTGAGGCGTAGATTTCGGGGCGATTATTCGTTAAAGATAATAAAAGACCTTTACACAAAGCTCTTAAACGTGATTTTCTTATTGAATCTCAATTGCCTATATCCCTAAATTGTTTTTATCCTAATTTTTATTTTCATTTAATAGAAAACAATTTTCTAGCGGTAACGGGTGACCAATAAATGAGACAACTTGACCACTGTTTATTATATTCTGTATAACAGACATGGTTAGATCATCCCTGAGGGCAGATAGGAGAAGGCTACAAGTTATCGGATCTCTGATTAACTCGCCTTGAAATACAATCAGTATTTCATGCGGAAGTTAAAGGATTAATCGTGTTTTCTGACCGTACCTGTCTATTTTAATTTTTACAACATCTTTATAATCTATTTACAAAATAACCCTAGAATTCTAGACATACTCAACACTTCGAACCT